TTGGTAGATGGTGTCACCCAGGGGTGTTGTCTCCTGCCTGATTTCTGGGGGGGTAGGGTGGGCACACCTGGAAGGAATGGCCCGAGAGCAACAGAGTCCGCTGTCACTGCTTGGAAGAAAGTTCGTGGAAGATTCACGGAAGGAGGGGCTGAGAAATGGTAAGACAACCTGGACGGTCACTCCATCCACCCGTACTCACTTGGAATTTAAGCAGAGTGGCTTCTACGGGAATTCCAAAGTATACCTATGTCTATACTGGTACTCTGCGTCTTTTTTATAGATGTGTCAGATTGCATGCTGCCTGAAACTGATGAACAGCCGTCAACTCAATGCCATTCAAATCAGCAACTACTTATTAAGCCCTGGCTGCAAGGCTCTCCCCGGCTGTTCAGTGGGCGGAAAATACAGCATGCACAAGACAGGTTCTTCTTTCTAAGACCCTTGTAATCTAGTCGGTGGGGAATGATATAAACAGGGTGACAGACACAAGTTTTAATTAACGGCGTGAGGGGTGGGCTTATGTTCTGGACACGGACGAGAGGCGGCGGGGGGGGGGGGGGGGGGGGGGGGTCCTCTGGCTGGGATATTAGCGGCCAAGTGCATTGGATCCTGAGACGTGAAAAGGATCTCGACTAGGAGAAATGGAATGGGTAGCAGAGGGGATGTTCCATATAGTTGGAATGATGTCGGCTGAGGCAAAAGGGGGAGGAAAGAATAGGGCTGCAGAGGGGACGGGGGAGGAAGAAAGACTCTGGATTACACTTCTCCCTGCTTACTTACACATCCTGTGCCTACACTAGCAGACGGCAGATGAGATCCTAGACGGCTGAGAGGTCCCCGCATCATGCAGCACACTGCCATTCACACGGGAGCCACCCGCTGAGTCTGTCAAAGCAGAACTGCTGACGCGGAGGGATGTTTTTCATTTACTCACCTGTTCAACGCACACACACGCAGACCTACTACGTGCCAGCGACTAGACAGGAAGTGAGGATACAAGACATAACACCTGCTCCTATTAAGAACTGTCTGAGTTAACTACCTCTGTATTTCCCAACCGCTTACTGCATACGTGTCCGTCTCCTTCAACGGCTACAGACTCTCTCGAGTACAGAGTGTCGAAGCCGATGCCCTAGTCAACAAATATCTCCATGAAGAGGGCCGAGGAGGCAGCGGCTTACCCAAGGCACCCGTGGCATTGACCTGCAGGATCAGCCAGCTGTGGACATTCTCCTTGTTGGAGCCAAAGATGGTGAAGACAGTGCTCTTCTCGCCGGGTTCCGTGAGGAGCCCGTACACAAACACTGGGCTCTCGGAGAAGATGAACGTTTTCCAGGTCTCCCCTTCGTTGGTACTGTATCTGCCAAGGACGAGTAAGAGGATTCTTACTTACAGTTAAAGTCTCTAGGGCAAGGGCTTGGTTTCCAGGTAACATTCACTAGTGATAAGAGCCAGGACTCTCTGGAGGAACAGCCGGAGCAGGGAACCTTCAAGGCTGTGCCAGAAAGCAAGGACGTGCTAAGAGACTAACGGACTCAGTGCAAAGGGACACAGCAGCCAGCTTGATGGAGCTCCAACTGGCCATTTTGGGAAAATCTGAACATAAAAACAGAAAAATGACGGTAACAGATTATATACCCAATAGAAATACGACAGGGGTCTCCGAATGATGCTGAAAGGAAGAGAAAAGGGAAACAGGAAGATGTTTTTCTTATGTTACAATGCTACCTGATACATATTGAAAACAATGACAGCATGAGAAAAACGACCATCCCATAACCCGCACTGTAATGACCGAGTCAGGCAAAGAAGACCACTGAATGCCACAACCCCATAGTTCACATGGGGACCACGGTGTTCACATCAACCCACAGATGAATCATTCACTGCAAATGGGGAAATGCAATCTTACAATGGATTAAGAGTCACAACTGTCACCAAAATTAGCATCACTAACAATGGGACAACCTGACGTCACGTGCCTCCCGGATAAAGCGTTGAGAATATCATCTATGTGCCGTTCTGTACAACCGGACAAATCCAGAACGTGGGACGGTCTCCATGGCCACTGGTCTGGATTCCTCCAACACAAAACTGAGGCCGTGAAAAACTTAACAAACCAACCAGGAAAGGCGGAAGGCTTGTTACAAAGAGACTAAAGAGGTGTTAACGACCATAGGCGATGTGTAAACCTTGACTGCATCCCAGACCGGTGGGGGAAGGCAGCTGTAAGCAGCTTGGGACAACAGAGAAAATATAAATACAGTGTGTAAGGGACACTGAGCTCATGTGAATTTCCTTAGATGTGAGAATGGCATTCTGAGTGCATAGGAAAATACCCGTACGTATTGGTGATACATGTTTTAAATATTTAGCTGTAAAGGGGCACAACTTTCTTTCAAATGGCTCAGCAAGGGGCGCCTGGGTGGCTCAGTAGGTTAAGCATCCAACTCTTGATTTCAGCCCAGGTCATGATCTCACAGTTTGTGAGTCTGAGCCCCGCATCAGGCTCTGCACTGACAGCATGGAGTCTGCTTGGGATTCTCTCTGCCCCTACCCCGCTCATGTTCATGCTCTCTCTCTCAAAATAAACAAATAAACATTTTTTTTTTAAAAAAACTCACAAATGACAAAAGGATAGACACATGGACAGACAGGCAAGTAGGATGAATAGATGACAGAAGTAAAGCAAACTGGCAAATGTTAGCAACTGGTGATTCTGGGCAAACTTCTGTGGGTGTCCTTTATACAATTCTTCCGCCTTTTCCCGCGGTCTGACAGATTTTTAAGGTGGAGGAAAAATATGTCCAGAGAAAAGTCTCCAAGGAGGACTTGTTCTTGCTACAGAACGAGAAAGCAAGCTCTTTAAAGAAATAGGCAGCACTGACATAACTGTGTTGATTTTTCATAATCTTTTGTATTGAGGGGGAGGGGAGGCGCAGAGGGAGATGGGGAATACCTAACACTTGCTTCGTCTCCCAGGAAGCTGGCCAAGATGCTCAACATGAGAAACCGCTCAGTTAGAGCTCTCTTCAGCGTCAGCTCTCGCTTCTCTCTTAAATCCTACGTGCAAAATTTCTCTTTCTTTCACGTTTCCTGTATTTTTGAGATTTCAGTTTTGCTTCCTCAAAGAATGCTTGACACAAATCTTTTCACAACATCATACAATCCAAACACTCTCTCCCAAATCGAGATGACGACAATGGGTACTTCTGCAAGAGGCCACGGGTTAAATGGGAGGTGGGGAGCGGTGTACAAGGCAACATAAATAAAGAAGGTCAACGAGGACCAAGTGACTCCCCTACGGATCTTCCAAAGAGGAGAAATCCTCATCTGGTTGAACTGTGTTTGGTTGAAGCTGATTTTGAAGCAGATATAGGGATAAGTTAACTCATTCACTCTCCTTGCACCAGTGTGATGAGCTAACGGCTGAGTATCACTTTTAAAGGAAAATGAATGGGAAGAGCTGGCCTATTATCCAGACAGGATGGGAGCTATCAGGGATAATGTTGGAGGTCCATCCATTTGCACACTGCCCCGTAATTCTATTTAGGAGCTCCCTGAACCCCCGATAACCTTAGGAAATGAAGCACCCCATTTCTTGAGAGGTTCCCAGATGACTGATGGGATGACACTTTGATGAGACTGATAAGCAGGTACATGGCCAAGCAGAGCCTTGTATTTGAGAATAAACCGCGCATTTAGAAAACGGTGCTTTTTCCGAGTTTCGGGGAAGAAGCAAGTCACATTACCACTGCAACAGTTAGGGGGACATCTACTCTAGACCAGGTTCTGATCCCCTAAAGAACAACATGTACTGATGGGGTGAAAATGACAACAGTCTTGCAAGAAAACAAACCAAGTCACCTATGTATTCCTACAGTCAGGAAAAACCATCAGAGCCCTAACCTTCAGGACTGGAGGATTCAAAATGTTCAGATAAAAATACACACATAGGGGAGCCTGCGTGGCTCAGTAGGTTAAGCGTCCGACTTGGGCTCAGGTCATGATCTCACAGTTTGCGAGTCCGAGCCCCGCATCGGGCTCTGTGCTGACAGCTTGGAGCCTGCAGCCTGCTTTGAATTCTGGTTATCCTTCTCTCTCTGCCCCTCCCCTGCTCATATTCTATCTCTCTCTGTCTCTCAAAAATAAATAAATTTAAAAAAAGTTTTTTCAATGTTAAAAAAAAATACACACATAATCCCAGGGTCAAAACTCTCAAGAGGATGGGAAGGTCATTTAATATAATTAATGTAATAAATTTGTAATATAAATATAACACAGATACACTAAATAAGGGAAGTGGTAATATTCAAGACATTAACGTGTGGCTGTACGGAAAGGTCCTTGATGAACTCAGATTTTTTTTTTTTTAATTTTTTTAACGTTTATTTATTTTTGAGACAGAGAGAGACAGAGCATGAACAGGGGAGGAGCAGAGAGAGAGGGAGACACAGAATCTGAAACAGGCTCCAGGCTCTGAGCTGTCAACATGGAGCCCGACGCGGGGCTCGAACTCACAGACCGTGAGATCATGACCTGAGCTGAAGTCGGACGCTTAACCGACCAAGCCACCCAGGCGCCCCGATGAACTCAGATTTTTAAACATGTTCACAATAAGAAAAGAGCCATACAACCAAAGGCAAAAAAAAATTAAAGAGCAGTACTTATCTGCTAGTTAATTGCCGTTATAATTCTGATGGCAAGTAATCTGCAGCAACCGTGAGCAAACAAACCCAAAATGAGTCAAAGATTATGCTTCAAATTATAACAATTAGTGATAGATTCGTGAGTCAGTGGGATGGTGGGTTGGTTGCCTAGTAAATTCTACAAAGTATTAGCAAGAAATTCTATAAAGAACCAGAAAGGGATCATCCTTTTGATGGTCACTGGTATAAATAGTAACAATAGAAAGAAGAAAAAAAAGGCAGAACCACTCAATTTCTATTTTGGTTGTATCTTTACCAAGAATGATCTTCAGACTGGACAAGGCAGGAAAAAAAAGACAGGGATGTTAAAAGAAAATGAGTACAAAAGAGAGAACATTCTAGAGAATAGAAAAAGTTCAAAATATGATGGCAGATAAGAATCTCTAAAAGAATCACAAAGAACAGAGATTCTTGAAGCCCAGAGGAGGAAGAATAGTTTTACTTTCCTAAAGAACATAAAAATGGGGGCGCCTGGGTGGCTCAGTCGGTTGAGCATCCGACTTCAACTCACGCCGTGATCTCGTGGTTCATGAGTTCAAACCCCGCATCGGGCTCTGTGCTGACAGCTCAGAGCCTGGAGCCTGCTTCAGATTCTGTGTCTCCCTCTCTCTCTGCCCCTCCCCCGCTCGTTCTCTGTCTCTGTCTCTCTCTCAAAGAATAAATAAACATTAAAAAAAAAAAAAAAGGAACTAAAAAATGGTTTCAAGAATGGAAACAGCTGATCTGAGAGACCTTAGAAAAGAAGGAAGTCAGGGCTGGGACTCACATGGTTTCACACCCAAGTCACAACACAACAATCGAATCCCACTTCCTTTTCTCAAGGTAATCCTTGATTTGAAGAGGGCAATGACAGAGAACGTTCTTTTTTCATAAGGATCTCTATGGACCACACAGCTAGATAAAATTCACCGCTGGGAAAACAAGTCCCGGTGTGCTGACTGCCGACATATGGTGTGAACCCAACCCTAAATGAGATCGCTCGTTTCCACACTGCTCCCTGCTTTAGTCAAAGACATGAATAACAATATGGAAGGTCAACCCATCAAATGTGCAAAGCCTACAAGGCTAATTGGACTGGTAATGCAATCAATGCCCAAACAGGATTCAAAACACTCCTCTTATTACATCAAAAGAATAAGCAAACATGAGAAAAAAGTTCCACATGTTGTTTCAAAAGCCTACCTGCTCAGACACAAGGTGGAGTAAATCTGGTCTTAAATACCATATGATTTCGCTTCTATGTGGAGTTTAAGAAACAAAACAGATTGAACACAGGGGAAGGGAAGGAAAAATAAAGTAAGATAAAAACAGAGAGGGAAGCAAACCATCAGAGACTCTTAACTATAGAGAACAAATTGAGGGGTTGCTTGCTGGAGGGGCGGTGGGTGGGGGATGGGCCAAATGGGTGACGAGCACAAGGAGGACGCTTGTTGGGATGAGCACTGGGTGTTACACGTTAAGTGATAAACCCCTAAATTCTACACCCGAAACCAATACAACGCTATACAGAAGGAAAAAAAGTAGTGACAAAACTACTCTAAGTCGAGATAATGCATTCCATTATTTGCATCAATTACCTTGTTTAAATTACCACGTTAAAAATACTGTGAGGCGTTTCCACAGATGAGAAAACTGAGTCTCCATAAGATAA